AAGGCATCTTGGACTCTCTCGGGCCGTCTTTGGGAACCATCTTGGACCATCTTGGGCGAGTTGGAGGCTATCTTGGGCCATCTTGGAGACCATCTTGGGCCAGCGTGACCATCTTAGAGGCCATCTTGAGCCGTCTTGGAGAATTGTTTGCGGTCGTTGAGGTCCCCTTCGGGTGGCCGGCGGAACGGGCCGAACCCGCAGGGAGAGTTTTTTTGGGAAAAACAGCCGAAATCAAAAGCGAAGGGATTCAGCACGTCAGGCACCCCTGTGATGAATCAGTAGGGGGCAGTGGATCCCAATGGTCCTCGGCCCATCCTTGTGGGTCTGAGGCCTCTTGTATATGTGTTGGGGTGTCGTGGGGAGCCTCTCGGGGGCCTTTTGGAGGCGGTTTGGGTGCCTCCTGGGGGCCTTTTGGGGCCTCGTGGGGTATCCTTTGGGCTTGTTGGAGGCCTCTTTGGCGCGTCTTGGGCGCCTCTTTGGGGCCTTTTGGGACCTCTTGACGGCCTCTTGGGCCCTCCTGGTGGCTTTTCCGGGGCTACTCGGGGTGCAATTTACGAGGGACCGTGGCCCCAGAGGCGAGAATGTGGCATAATTTAGATGGGGATCGTGGCCTCAGGAGCGCGCGTACGGTGTATTTTGCGAGGGATCGTGGCTTCGGGGACGCGAATCCAGCTTATTTTAGAAGGGATTCTGGGGACGCGAGCACAGTGTAATTTAATAGGGATTCTTGCGTCGGGAGCGCGAATCTCAAGTATTTATACGTGTCCCACGGCCCCCGGAGAACCCTCCTGACGCTAGCCAGGGTTGTTTTCGGCTCCCCCCCCTCGCGCGGACAGTCACAATTTACAGTAGGAAGCAGAATACTGTAACATTGGGAACTGGAAACTGGAACTCGTGCAGGGAGCAGCAAACCTATGCCTCGCAGCCTGATGGCCCCGCAAGGGGGCCAGCGGATATCATGTGTTATGTTCCCTTCTCTCTCTCTCTCTCTCTCTCTCTCTCCCCCTTTGTACATCTCTTTACCTTCGTGTTTTTTATACATGTGTGCACACATGCCCTTACATCTGCATTTTCTGTATTTTATGTATGTGTTCCACCATTGGAAGGAAGAGGAAGAGGATGAGAAATGCCGAAAAAGTGAACCTAGGAGGGAAGGGGAAGGAGGGATGATAAGGATGAGGGAGGGGTATGAGAAGATGAGGCGAGGTTTTGCTGCTAGAACCGACCTGGCACACCTAGCCTCAGCCGGCCGTTAGAGAAAACGATGAGCGGGCGGGCACACTGAGCAGGTGCCTCCACGCCCGCCCCCCGTTCAATCCAGCGCTATCTCCCAGAAGGCGTCCCGCTCACACTGCAAGAGTGAGGAGGGGGAGGAGGAGGAGGGGCAGGAGGAGGAGGAGGAGGAGGAGGAGGAAGAGGAGGAGGAGGGGGAGGAGGAGGAGGAGGAGAAGGAGGAGGACCGGACCTCCTCCTCCTCCTTCTCCTCCTCCTCCTCCTCACCTTTCCTTTCCGCCTCCTCTCCCCCTTGCGGGACTACCTAAACATTTTCTTAAGATCGACGGGACCGCCAGAACCCAGAGCCTACCGGAAGCTTTCGAGAACCCCGAGCAACATCCCCAGTAGATCCCAAACAATTTGAACACTTCAGATTCCCACCAAACTCCTCCCTCCACCCTCCCATCCGGTCCTCTACAGTCCAGACGTTCCAGACCAAGAGTCGGCGGCGCGCGGAAAGGGGTTGGGAAAAGGAGCTGGCTTCCTAAGTTGCCATGGGATGTTTCGCAAGCTTCGGAGCCATGCCATAATGCCTTCTCAGGAATACCCGAGGCAGCCCCTCGCCCCACCCCCTTTTTTTGTGTGTCTACCCATCGTGATTGGCGCGCGTGAGTCACTCTTGGACTGGTAGCCCCAGCCCCCCTCTCCCGGTTGGCGGTCTCGCGGGGTTGGGCCTTGCTGGCCTCCGGATAAGAGCCCGTTTCTGTATTGCGTGGGGCATGACGCGCGTCATGGCCCCCGCTCCCCCCCCCCTATGACGTAACGCCCCCCCCCCAGTGCGCTCCGGGCACTGCCGCCGTGCGCATTGGGATCCGCGTAGGTGTCCGCGTAGGAATCCTCATAGGTGTCTGGTCCGCAGGCGTCTTCGTCGTCGTCGTCGTCGTCGTCGTCGTCGTCGTCCGTCGTCGTCGCTCGTGGTTCGTCGCTCGTCGCTCATCGTCGTCGTGCGCGCGGACGCTGCTGGAGCCTGTTTTTAAGTCCGGGCCGATGACGGCAATCACCTGGGGGGGAGGGGGTCGATGACGTCACGTTTCGCGCCGGCGGCGTCTGGGAATGCTCAGGAATGACGGAGGACGGGTAGCACGAACATGTAGGTGGCGATCTGCACCACAACGCCTGTGTACATCACAGTGCCCGCGCGCACCACAGCGCCTGTGTACACCACGCCGCCGATGTACACCACAGCAGCCGCGTGCAACACAGCGTCGGTTTGTGCCACCGTGCCTGCGGGCACAGCAGCTCCTGTGTACACCACAGCGCCTCCGTACACCACATCAGCCGTGCGCAACACAGCACCAGTGTACACCACAATGCCTGCGTGCATTGCATGCCTGTGTACGCCACGGCGCCTGTGTGCACCACATCAGCCGTGTGCAACACAGCACCATTGTTGTGTATAGAATTTCAGAAGGGATCCTTGTGACAACATGGAGCGCGTGTGGATTCCAGAGAAAACAATGGAAAGCAAATCCTCATGGCCGAAGGAGCGCCGCTGGAATCTACGAGTCCCCCCGAGTCCGCCCGCATCACCCAAACTCCCATTTGCGTCGAGGAGGCTCCAGCTAAACTGGCCGTCCGAGAACCAAGTGGACCGATTCAATCGACCATTTTGCGATGCACGCTGAGATGCGCACGTGCGTTGCAACGCCAAACCGCACGACAGGGGGCAAGAAGGAGGAAAAGGAGGAGGAGGAGGAGGAGGAAGAGGACGGGGAGGAGGAGGAGGAGGAGGAGGAGGAGGAGGAGGAAGAAGAGGAGGAGGAGGATGAGGAGGTGGAGGAGGAGGGAGGAGGGAAAAACGTCGCATTCGATTCTAAGTTTTTCTTGGCGTGGCGTTTAGTTGTCCGCAGCAGATCCAGACGTACATGCTCCTTCTACTTGTCCTATGCACGCAGGCACTGTGGTGTACAGCGCTGCGTTGCACGCGGATGCTGTGGTGTAGACAGGCGCTGTGGCGTGCACAGGCGCTGTGGTGCACGCAAGCACAGTGGTGTACACAGGCGTTGTGTTGCACATGGCTGCTGCGGTGTGTGTGTGTACACCAGCGCTGTAGTGCTCCCAAGTATTGTGGTATACATGGGCGGTGCGTTGCACGCGGCTGTTTGCGGTGTACGCAGGCGCTGTGGTGCACACGCGCGGTGTGGTGCACGCGAGCATTGTGGTATACACAGGCGCAATGGGCAGATCGCCACTTACATGCTGCTCGCGTCGTCGTCGTCGCTCGTCGTTCTTCGCTCGTCGCGTCGTTCGCGCGGGCGCGGCTGTGGTGCCGGAACCACACGGCGGGGGGGGGCGCCACGTCATACCCCCCCCCGCCCTCCCCCCCTCCCATGACGCCCGTCATCGCCGAACATAAAGAGACGCGCTCTAACAAGAACAACAAAACCACCACCAACAACAACAACAAGTACAATCACTTTAGGATTGTTCGCTTTTACCTGCTCGCGTGCAATTCTCAAATCATTGGTACCCGCCGTTTTCGTCTTCGATCGTGCCCCCTCTTGGGGGTATGTCTTCCCACCTGCCGCGTGTAGCTGGCGCAGCCCCTAAAATAGGGGAAGGAGGGACGGAGTGAAGAGATGAGGGGTAAGGGAAAGGATGGAGCACGGGAGAAATTTGCAGGAAGAGGGTGAGGAGCAGGAGCACAAGCGGCAGAACTAGCCTGGCGTTTCTGGCGGGCGGACCATAATGGGCAGGTCGGACATCAGCGATCGGGGCCGAATCCCCAAGGCTGGCCGGGGACGTGCGTGTGGGCGAATTTAGCCCGGCCGGTCTCCGCACCTCCGTGTCGCCGATGGGCGGGTGGCTGAAGCCATGCGGGTGGAGTGCAGTGGAGTCCCCTCCGCTGGCCGCTGCGCCGAAAGCCCCAGGTTGGCCTCTGACGAACAGGTGGTCGAGTCCCATTCCGGGCACGATCCGCGCGCCGCCGACGGGCGGATGGCTGAAGCCGCGGGACTGGAGCGCAGAGGAGGCGCGGCGACGGCATCGGCGCCAGCATCGGCGACTGCTGCGACGCAGAAGTCGACGCCTGAACCGACGCCAACACCAGCACCAACGCACCCAACCGCACCGCCACCATCATGCACGCCTGTAGCGTCACAAGTGGCGACGCCCACATCGACGCCTTTTTTCTTCCTCCTCCCCCCGCCTCCTCCTGCTTTCTCATCATCCTGTCTCATTTCCCTCCTGTTTCCTCCCTCTCCTCCTACTCCTGCCCTTCCTCTCTTTGTCCTCATATTCCTTCTCCTCCTCCTGATTCTCCACCTACTTCTCCTCGCCCCCATGTTTTCAATTTAATAGGTAGGAGTATGCAGGAGACGAGAAACAGAAAAGGGCCTCCACAACCTCAACAACAGCAAAACAGCAACAAACACAGGAACGACGATGACGTTTATTCTAAATCAGGCTACATATATTACCATGCGGGCCCCACCGTCGGAGTGATTCAAAGTTCCGTCTTGGGCTGAGTTTGTAGTTTTGCGCCCAATGCGGGCGTTGCGGGCCCCAGCTGATCGGGAAGCTCTCCGAAAGTTGCGCAGGGATTCAGACCCCCACGCAACGCGAATACCTAGGACGAGTCTCCTCCGGACTCTGGCCCCATGTTCTTAGCCAGGTTGGTCGAGGCAACCCCAATCTCAAGCGGAGGTGCCAGTCACTGGGATGCCACTTCGTGACCATGCAGAGGCTTCAGAGACTCCTCCTCCTTCCTCCCCCTCAAAACCCGCAGGCGGACAACTCCCAGGAGCTGTTCAGACTACCGCCCTCTGCCGATCTGACGAACGGCTGGGACCTCACCAGGATGGCCCTTGAGGACAAGGAGCTTGGACGCCTCGCGTCGCTTCTGGGCTGGGTTCGGGAAGAGAGGAGGAAATTAATGTGAGGCTGGCCATGACGATTGAGGCTCGAGCGCTGTGGTTTTTGAGCTCGTTTTACCCCCCTCTGGGCCTGCACGGGTCTCGGGAGACCACACGAGACATCTGCGGAGGTGTTTGGCGACAGTTGGCGACATCTGGGGACTTCAAGGCGAAGAGGCGGTGGGAGAGCGGGAGGGAAGGGGTATAACACCGTATCGACATACATGTGTCCCCTTAGGCATTTGAATCGGATGTACGCGCGTACGTATGTTTTTTTCCGTCTGACTGCCAGACTGTCTGAGACCTGTATGCAAATGTATACGTATATGTATATGTACTTGTATATGTATATGTAGATGTATATGTCTATGTATAGTTCGATGAGCATGCACATGTACATATATATATATATATAATTGCTTAGGTGCGTGTGTGTATATGCATATGTGCATGTATATGTCAATATCAGTGTAACTGAATGTAGTTTCTTATATATGTGAACATGTACATGCATAGGTAAATCTACATGCATATGTATACGTATATGTGCATGTGTATGTATATGTGTATGCATGCCTGCATACATGCATACATGTATGCATGTATGTAGGTACGCATGCATGTGTATACATGTGTATGCATGCATGTATGCATGTGTGCATGCATGCATGTATGTACGCATGCATGCATGTATGTATGTGCGTGTGTATGCATGCACGCATGCATGCACGTATGTATGTATGCATGTATGTAGGTGTGCATGTATGCATGTAGTTAGGTAGGTAGGTCGGCAGTTCGGCAGGTATGCATGTATGTGTATATATAAACATATATATATATATATATGTACGTGCATGCGCATGCATGTATGCATGTATGTGTATGTGTATGTATGTATATATATATATATATGTATGTGTATGTGTATGTGTATGTGTACGTGTATGTGTATGTGTATGTGTATGTGTACGTGTGTATGTGTATGTGCATGTATATGTGCATGTGCATGTGCATGTGCATGTGTATGTGTATGTGTATGTGTATTGTTGTATGTCTGTGCTGTGCATGTGCATGTGCAGGTGCATATGTATGTATGTGTGCTTATGTGTATGTGTGTATGTATGTGGGCGTACATGTATGTGTGTACGTATGCATGTAACTGTATGTATGTACTTACGTATGTACGTACTTACGTACGCATTTACGTTCTTACCCACGTACCTTCTTACGTACTTCTTTGCGTACATACGCACGCTCCTATGTATCATTACACACCTATATATATACACACCTATTGATCTACCCATTTACCTGCACATATCTACAATGATATAGCAGTGTGGGGCCTCCTGCGGAGCCCTCGTCGCCACGGATGGATCCGCTTCGAAATTCTGGCCAGGACGCGCTCTAGAACCGTTCTGGAAAGGGGGTGGTCAGACTCCCCCCCCCTCCTCCAGGCAATGGGAGAAGTTCAAACCCCCTCTCCAGCACTGGTCGTCGTCGTCGTCGTCGTTTGCCGGCGCCAGGGGGGCCCTTGTTCTTTGTTGCGCTGGCGAACCGACGACGACTACGGAGATGACCCAACCCTTGCGCCGGCAGACGACGACGGTGACGACGACGACGATGACCCCCTCGTCACCGGCGCCGGCAAGCGACGACGACGATGACGATGACGATCCCCTAATTCAGCGCCGGCAAACAACGATGAAGACGACGACGATGACCGACCCAAAGGGGGGTGGGTCGAGTCCCCCTCCCCTCGCGCGGGGGTGGAAGGGGGGGCGGGGGTCGAGTCCCCTCTGTCCGCGAGGGGCGTCGAGGGGTGTTTGTGGGGAGAGGGAGGTTTTGTGTGGGGAAGGGGGGGGGGTCCAGTTTGCCAGGTGCTTGGGATGTTTGGGGAAGGGTGTCAAGGTATCGGTTTCTGACGCGCCGAGAAGTGTTTTGCACCCGCAAGCGTCCGTGAAGCGCGCTCTATGTCTTCAGGGCTGGGACGCTTGAAACACGATTTATCGAAGAAGTGTTCTTTTTCAGGTTGCGAGGAGGAGGAGAGGCGGCGGAGGAGGAGGTGGAGGAGGAGGAGGAAAAGGAGGAGGAGGAGGAAGAGGAGGGGGATGGGGGAGGTGGAGGGGGGTGATAGGGGAGGAGTGCCAGGACGATCTAGGATAGGGGTCCTAGGATCGGTATTTTTATGTGCTTCTTGCTCCCTTTGAGCCTCCGAAGGCCGACTTCAGAGGCCTTCGGAGGGCCCTCTTGGGACTGCCTTGCGCCTCAGGGGGAGGACCAGGAGGAAGAACGGAGAGGAGGGGGGACGAATCGCTCGCTTGGTGCACCACTTTCAGTGTGGAATTTGTTCCCCGCCCTCTCGCTAACGTGTTGCCCGTTACTGCTTAGCGGTTGTCGCTCGCAGCATGCTTAGATGCCATCCTTTCACGGACGTTGGCAGGTATCGCTACGTCATGGGACATGCCTTGATAAACATGCAGTGCAGCCGGAGGAGGGCGGCATCGAGTTTGATTATTACGGCTTCGAGTACGGGCACATGATGAAGTCTATCTTAGGCGGGGCACGGATCGGGGACCCTGGGACTGCTGGGCCAAGACCAATGCCGGTGATCTTTTCAACATTGACGCTGTTCCTAGTTTTGGGCCTTCGGTTGCCGTTTTCGGGCCTGGGGCCGTCAATCAGAAGTCTCGGCGCCTAGACTTTTTCGTGGCGCCTTTTTCGTGGCGCCAGATGTCCAGGGAGGAGGAGCGGGTCTCGGCCAAGAGGTGACTTGAGGGATATCAGCGCGGGGTGAATTGGGGTGCGCTTTCCAGCACCTTGAGTGGTGTCCCTCCCATGCCCTCTGCCTGGACCCCGGTTGCCTTCACGTTCATTGCCCCCTGTTAACTTCTGCTCAGGGAGGGTCGGCTTCGCGTTGCTCCCAAGCCCAAGTCAGCCAGAGGGGACTGGTTGGCCCCAGTTTTGAGCTGAGCCCCGCTACGCGCGCCCGAGAAGAACGTCAAGAGGCCGTCGGGAACCTTCGAACAACCAAGAGAAGCCTGCGCCGCGAAGTTCAGGAAGGGGCTCCGGCCCAGGGTTCTCTTTGAGTTTGCGGGGCAAAGCCCTCCACCAGAAGGGTGTCGAGCAGCAGGCGTCGGAATTGCACGGGCAAAGATACGTGTGCGGAGGGGGGGTCTCCAACGTGAATCTCGGTACGCGTGCGTTCGGCATGTGTCGGGGGTGGACAGAGACCCCACCCTGACGCGTCGATTAGTGAATGGTCCGTTTTCGGTTCTCGAGAGGGCGCCGCGGCAATCATTTTCAAGGCTTGCGCCCGCTATGTTTTGGCCCGAGGTCGTTTTCACTAAACCACGTTGTACTCAAGGGGGTTCTGTACATTCCCGAAGGTGTTTTCACGTGTTTCTGGCCACGACGGGGCCGCAGGCGAGGGACCCAGCTTGGGCGCGGCGGATTCTTCACATGCACCAAACTGTGTGCGGAGGGGGGGGCTCAACAGACGCCTAGCGCGTGCGCGCGGGGCACGCGTTCTCATGTGTTCATGGCTCCCAGAAAGGGGACCAAATTTGGGCGCGTCGGATTTTCGACACGTGGCAATCTGTACGTGCGCGGCAGGGGTGGACACACCATGCGCCTGGCGCGTGCGCGCGGGGCACGTGTCTTCACGTGTCTCGCGCGGGACTTTCTCGCAGTCTACACAGGAATCGAGCTCTGTCGTGGAATTATGCCGCCATTTATTCAAACGCCTTGCCCTCGACAAGTGACTCTCTCGCTGTGGATGCCTTTGCGATTTCTTTGGGACTCGCGCTGTCGCTCGAGACGTGCTTGCGATTTATGCAGGACGCACGCTTCAGCAAGCCACCTGCCCCTTGTCCCTTCCTTCTATCTGTCCTCTCTTCTCGAGCCTTGAGGGCTGCATGCAATACGCGTTCCAGGAAAGAGAGATATACCCCTACGGGGATACGGTCGAAGACGAAGATGGCGGGTATCGAAGGCTTGGGATCTACGTGTTGACTGGCACGCGAGCAGGAGCGAACCGTCTCAAAATGATTGTTGTTGTGGTGGTGGTGGTGGTGGTGGTGGTGGTGGTGGTTGTTGTTGTTGTTGAATTTTCATTTTTGAAGTACAAATATGGTTGATCCCCCCCACTAGTGCACATGTTGTTTTTTTCCGTTGAAGTGCCCCCCTCGGGGTTCACACCTTGTTTTGCAGGGGAACTGTTCCTGCTCAAACTGCGTTGTTGCCCCCCCCCCGCTACAACAGCAACGGTTCCCAACCTGATATTTCCACACAAGGTATTCCAAAATCGCGCCCTCGCGCGGGACTTCCTCACAATTTCTGCCGGAATCGCGCTATCCCGTCGAATTGTCTCGCAATGTATTCAAACGCAGTGCCCTCGACACACAGGAATCACTCTCTCGCTTTGGCATTTCTCAAGATTTATTTGGGAATTTAGCTATCGCTCGAGATTCCCTCGCGATTAATGCAGGACTCACGCTTCAGCAGCCCCCCTCCTAATTTCTCTCGTGCTCTCTCTTCCCCTGAGGGGCTGCGCTAAATACATGTGGCAGGTGTGGAAGAAATGCCACCAAGGGGGTTCGATCGAAGACGAAGAGGGCGGGTACTGAGGGTGTGGGACATACGTGTTGAATGGCACGCGAGCAGATATGAACGAACATACATATCATGAATGTTCTTGTTGTTGATGTTGTTGTTGGTGTTGGTGTTGGTGTTGGTGCTGCTGTTGCTCTTGGTGTTGATGTTGGCGTTGGTGATAATACTTTTGATCCCCCCTCTGGGGCACATGGTATTTACCTAACAGCTTTTGCTGATAGGTTTCTAGTGGTGTCAAAAGAGAGCGTCTTGACGCCCCAGGGGGGTCTGGGCGGGAACCGGATGCGGGACCCAGACAAAACGGGCAGCCCAGGAATCCTTGGGAATCCTGAGGAATTCTTAGGAAACCTTAGGAATCCATTCCCAGAACACCATTCCCAGGCCACATTTTGAATGCCCGGAGCCAACTGTAGGCCACTTCGTGTTCTTCGTGTTCCCAGAACACCATTCCGAGGCCACATTTTGAATGCCCGGAGCCAACTGTAGGCCACTTCGTGTTCTTCGTGTTCCCAGAACACCATTCCCAGGCCACATTTTGAATGCCCGGAGCCAACTGTAGGCCACTTCGTGTTCTTCGTTTTCCCAGAACACAATTCCCAGGCCACATTTGGAATGCCCAGAGCCAACTGTAGGCCACTTCGTGTTCTTCGTGTTCCCAAAACATCAGTCCTGTGCCATATTCTGAAGGCCCGAACTGAGGCAGGCTGAGGCTGAGGCTGAGGCACGCCGAGGCAGGCTGAGGCTGATGCTGAGGCAGGCTGAGGCTGAGGCAGGTTGAGCCACTGATGCTGAGGCTGACGCAGGCTGAGGCCGAGTCAGGCTGAGGCTGAGGCTGAGGCAGGCTGAGGCTGAGGCAGGCTGAGGCTGAGGCTGAGGCTGAGGCAGGCTGAGGCTGTGGCTGAGGCTGATGCAGGCTGAGGCTGAGAGGCTGACGCTGAGGCTGAGGCAGGCTGAGGCTGAGGCTGAGGCCGAGGCAGGCTGAGGCTGAGGCTGAGGCAAGCCGAGGCAGGCTGAGGCTGAGGCTGAGGCTGAGGCTGAGGCTGAGGCTGAGGCTGTGGCTGAGGCTGAGGCAAGCTGCGGCTGAGGCAGGCTGAGGCTGAGGCTGGCTGAGGCTGAGGCAGGCTGAGGCTGAGGCAGGCTGAGGCTGAGGCTGAGGCCGAGGCAGGCTGAGGCTGAGGCCGAGGCAAGCCGAGGCAGGCTGAGGCTGAGGCTGAGTCTGATGCTGAGGCAGGCTGAGGCTGAGACAGGCTGAGGCTGAGGCTGAGGCAGGCTGAGGCTGAGGCTGAGGCAGGCTGAGGCTGAGGCAGGCTGAGGCTGAGGCCGAGGCAGGCGAATCCTTTGGAATCCTTAGAATTCCATAGGAATCCTTAGGAATCCCTAGGAATCAGGTTTCCTAAGGATTCCTATGGATTCCTAAGGATGCTGGAGGATGCCTTTGTAGGAATCCCTAGGAATCCTTAGGATTCCATTGGATCCTAAGGCCGTTGCCACTGCGACTGTCATTGCGAATGCGACTGCGACTGCGAGAACAGCACAATTCTACAACTGGATTCTCACCTGAATCTTAAGGGGAATGCTTCCAGATATGCTTATACACATCGCTGTTAGGTTGTTTTGCCGGGATAAGTTTCAATTGAAGTGGCCTTCCCGGGGCTCGCACCCTGTTTCGTGTCGGGGGCAGTTTTTGGTCTCAAAATTGTGCCTGGCCCCCGAGTTACAACAACAACAGCTCCCGCTTGATACGTGCTCACGATCTATTCCTAAATCGAGCTCTCGCGTGGGACGTCCTCACACAATATGCAGACATTGCGCTCTCGCGTGGGACTTCCTCGCCGCGCCGCTCCCTCGACGACGCTTGCGCAATTTATTCCGACGCCGCGCCCTCGACACTCAGGAATCAAGCTCTCGCTTGCTTTGCCTATCTTACGATTTACTTGGGAATCGACCTATCGCTCGAGACTCGCGATTCATGCCTGACGCACGCTTCAGCAACCCGCCTGCTCGACCTGGCCGCCTGCTCGACCTGGCCCGCCTTCCCGACCCGACTGTTAGGGTCTACCCGCCCGATCTGCCCGTCTGGTTCTGCCACCTGTTTTTTGCTCCTCGCCCCCCTCTTGTTACTCTCTCTTTCTCTCGTGCTCCATCCTCCTGCCTCCCCCTTGTCCCTTTCTTCCATCCGTCCTCTCTTCTCCTGCCGTAGAGGCTTCATGGAATACATTTTCTTGCATCGGCGGCTAGGCAGACAATGCGCTAGCGATAGGGCGTTGGTAGGTGCACGAAACGCAACTTAAGCCACCACGCAATAGGAGGAGGGAAGAGGCGCCCGGCGGCGGCGGGAGGGAGGATGAAGCCAGGCCCGCTCAGAGCGAGGCCAGGCGCGCGGCGGGGGCGGCGCCGGGGGGGGGGGGCGGGGACCAGCGGCGGCGGGCCGGCGGGGGGCGGGGGGCTCGCTTAGGCAGGCTGCGAGGGAACAGTCCGTGGCGAGGAAACTCAGCATGGCATCGCCATAGCATGGCAAAGCAAAGCGAAGCAACATATCATCATAGCATAGCATCGTGTGCAGACCAAATCATAACATAGTGTATATCATAGTATAACGTACGGTGGCGGATATTGCATATCATATAGCATGGTATATAGTATAGTGCATGTCATGCCATAGCATATCACCTATCATATATAATATAGCGCATAACATAGCATAGTGCATCTCGTACCATGGCATCGTAACGTATCACATAACATAACATAATTTCGACGCGTGCCGTGCCGTGCCGCGCCAAGACAACGGAATATCTCATTAGTGTTTGGTTCAAGGTCAGACGCAGCGTTGTTTCTTGGATACCCTTCCACTGGGGAAGGTACACGGGCAGGTTTAAGATCATGCCTGGACCTCGCGAGGGGACGATCACGCTCGCCAGCCTCGGCGACGTGATGTCGGAAC